GTATATATATATATATATATATATATATAGTTTATTAAGATACGATGTGTGATCGAATTATCAAATATGATGATTAATATAGTGTCATATTGCAATATAGTAAATTATTTTGCCCCACGTAACTAGCTGACAAGATGTCCAAGTTGTTGTCACGACATTTCAAACATCCACTTGCTATAATGACAAAAAAAAGAAAAAATCAACTGTCAAATGAAGATAATGTAACCTTTATTTTGTGCCTACACTTTCTTGGTGGTAGTTCATCACTAATTCAAGCTTTTCCAAGACACGTAAATTGAAACAAATGTGACCTTGGATGGCATAACAAGTTTTATTTTAAAGAAGGCAAAGGACCAATATCAACATTAAAAAAGAATGTACAATCTTGTGTAAAGTGAAAAAATAAACTGTCCCCACATAACATGAATCTTCTTACCAATCGATAAATTAGATATTCAATCGTCTACTCTACGTGATTAAAGCTTATTAGGAATGAGTTCAGTAATCAACCAATTCTATCCAGTACTCTTACAATAATACATGAAAATGAGGTTATTTTTCTTCTTTTCGTTCTGCACAAGATTAAATAAATTGTTTGTACTAGCACAAGATAAAACTAGAAGCAAAATGCAATTGCTGGCTACTACAGCAGTTTGAACACAAAACTGGCAAGATAAGAAGAAGATAAAGTCTTCATGGGTTGATGCAAATGCATTTGACAGAATTATCCACCAAGGAAGGAAGAAGGAGAGTAACCTGTTATGCTTGCTTAGTATTTCAAGTTATGTTTCCCATGAGAAGCCTCAAAAGCCTGAGGTGCCATCCAAGATGCTTCACGAGTGTCCACATGAGAACAAGTTGTCAATGAATCAAAACACAATAGATTGCATGACAATTTGTTTTCTGAAATCACACACAATGCATATACAATTGATTCTCCGCCATTTCACTATAATTATACAAACCCTTAAGAGCATCATGACCATGGCCATGGAGCTTCACTCCACACACACCATCTACCTTTGAAGTCCATGTTGCTTGTGCAATTTGGAAGGATTTTGCTCTGTCCAGCATTTTGAGAGAGAAGTTCCCGATCACGTAGTACAGCATCATCTCTATATCTGGAGCTTAGATACTTCGGATGATCTAAAAATTTGACATTCTTCCACCAGAGCTTGAGAGCCTAAAGATAATAAAAAAAAACGATGTTCAAATCACTTAAATGGAAATAGATGTCCGATTCATATCCTACTCCGAGTAATTTGCAAATCCATTGTTGCATAAAATTCTGGTCAGTGCCAAAATAATCTACAAGTCTAAAGTAGCAAAAAGCTTGAGTTTTCAGCCATCCATCTGGTTACTGGTGGTCTACTTATATGACCTTCAATCTTAATCTCCATGTACTGGACTCACATGATATATATTATCTGAATTCTGACCAAAAAAGAATATGGGCCTACCCATACACAGTGGATTGGTCCAATATTCAATCAAACTTATTTAGTGTTAGCCACTGATGTGGGGCAGTTTACTGCTTTTAGTATGCTTTTAGTATTGCATTATCATTGTGCAATATGAATTGATGAAACACATTATGAATATTTGCTATACGCAATTACTTTCACAAGACGTACTACCATCTATTTGATGCTGATTGTTTGAGAGGAAAATAACAATTCTGTAACATGTCACAGCAATGAAGCAAATTCCAGCAATTGGACCGGATGATACTTGAAACAGCTATGTGAACAAGAAAACATATTTCTTCTTTTTGAATTGTACTGTAGCTCGAGACTTGACAATAAATGAATACTTTGCAATAAACTTTGCTGGCAATATTGTCAAAGGCCTTGGCATAGTGGCTCAAGCCTTGAGCATATCTATATAGTATTTGGGCTTGGAGATCTTAGAAATGGTAATCATGACATTTGAGCATAAGAATCTGCGTAAATTCCACAAATAAATCAAAACAATACCACATACATCACATAATTCAATCTCATTACTGACCAGATTTCATTTACTTTGGCCATTATCAACATGATTGAGGTTTTGTTATTTTTTATGCTAATCACCAAGTACTCCAGACTATACAATTACTGGTTGTAAAATTGAAAGTGTGTTCTTATTTTGGCTTAAGTCTGTAAATACTCAGTTTTCCAATTTGAGCCAATTCGATATCAAATAGCTGAGTGCATAATCAGAAACCTTTTCCTAGTACAAAGAGGTAGACCACTTAACATTTTGTGATCAGAATTACACGGTAATTGAAACTCTATCTCAGCTTGATCCTCTGAGCAAATGATATCGTACTTATCATTCTACTTTTATTCCATTTCCAACTGAACAAACAAATCTTTAATGTTTACTCTTGGCTGTTAGGTGTCAGTCACTGGTGATCTCATTACAACATGATAGGGTTAGGTGTCATGCACCAGTGATGAGAAAGAACATGACAGTAAACAACTTAAATGAAGCCTTAAGTACATGTCCATTCATAGTCTTATTCAAAAGACATGTTCCTCCAGCAAGCAACTTCACAGAAAAAATATTGATCATTATCCTACCCTTTTCCCTGAGAATAAGCTAACAATTTATAAGAAAAGAAAGGCCAACAATATTGAGTTTCTCCATCATGGATTTTACCAACAAAGCAATTTGTAGTTTATTCAATTTGAACAAGGAGCTCAGCTAGGATTTTCTAAAAAATACTTCTGTTTCACGAGCATCATGAAAATTGACATGGACAAACATATTCAACCAGACATGATAGACAAAGTGAAACCAATATGAAGTCTTAAGCAATAGGAATGATAATTACTGTCAATTAAAACAATAAATCAATTAGAATCTCATTCAACAAGAAAAGATACTGTCAGGTCAATTGTAAGCCACAACAATCATAAGTTCTTTAATATGGTTTTGATAAAGATGTTCACATTCAAGTACCACAGCAGGCATTTCTAGAAAGATATCATCCTAGTTTCTTTCTGGAAGGAGTCATCTAAAGAGATAGTAGATGTCTGAAGCATCTAACAGGCATTAGAGACATTTAAAGCAGCAATAGTAGGAGTAATAGAAGCAGATACAGGATTGGTAGTTGTTCAACTTCATCATTACCTGCCAGTATATCCACATTGCAACCTTATGGGGCATCAACCAAAAATATGTTGCTAGAAAATTTGAATCAAATGAATGGACTCTTCGGGCACGTAAAGTTGCAGTAAAGTAGTTTCCAAGGGTGGGGTGTTGGACTGAGATTACAAGTGAAAGATCCTCCCCTGGTGCATCAGCAAACATGCACCAATTTCCTAGCATATCCTGCAAGCAGATATGAAGTACGTATAAGTCCAAGAATAAGGTAGAGCTAAGAAGTCTAGTAAAATACGTATCCAGCCAACGGTAGCTACCAGCTAGGAGAACGAAGTTAACAAACAGGTATAGGAAATCTGACGAAAAAAATACATACTCATAACTGAAATTCAGAAATCTAATAACTGAATTCTAAGATTGAATAACAATTTTGTAAAGTTTTAGCCTTTTAGGTACTTAGGAAGTTTGGAGATCCAAGCTAGTGGGCTGGAGATCCTGATAGATAATTTGGGAAACTTGCAGTAGCACCAAAGGAAGCACTGAGTATCTGCACATATGATGTCTAAACGATGAGGCACTTATTCTGTTTTCGACTTAGTCACACATTATCATTGGACAGCAAAAATTCAAATACCGAACCCTATTGAAGATACGAAGGGGCATTTACTGGACCAATCTAATACCAATAGAACATATACTGATTCAAATGGAGTAATACCCAATTATCCATACTGACTAGATACGATAGCAATCTTACCACCAAACACGTATGGACCAAGTCTGATTTTAAATCCTTGTTATCTGCTAGGAGAATGTTTTACAAAAGGAACAATTCTCCATTTCAATACACTAATTGACCTACTGCCCATTTCAAATTATAGTGATACAATTAGATGATGATTTGACACCGGTGGTTATTGTTGGCTATCATCAGTATTAAGAAGGGAATAATAGCAGGAAACATAGGTATATTTTACACCCAAAGACTCACATTCCCTAGTGAAATTTTGGACACCATCTATATACTAATATTTGCTCTACTAGCACTTTAAAGATTTTTGAATTTATTGAATGTTACTAACAATCTAGTCAGCACAAAAGAACAAGTCACAGGACAGATTGCTACTCTAAATAGGTTACTTAAATAAATCAATTTAACTATATAATGAATGTTGAAGTTTCAACATAAAATATGGCAATGCCTAACTGTACCAAGCTGCCAAACATAATGTTGGATGGACTGAGGTTCATGTAATGGAAAATTCACGCATATGTCAATTCTCTATTTGCAAAATTGAAATGCTTAAAGAGAAGGTGCCTCCACAATGTTAACAAATTATGCTGTCGATGCTGATAAGTAATTTCATAGAAATTGCATTCATTATGAAACTTTTCAACCTCCGCATATGCCAATTAAATAAGCTAGCATGTTATGTATATGAAAAATAAGGCATTGATAGTAAATGCATAATTACAGATGGGCAAAGCAACAGGATGCTAAAAAATTTGAATTAGCAGACAGCTAGTAGGCTAACCTTGACATACCTTGTGCTAGCAATGGAGTGAGGAAATTTGATATGTTAATCACATCCACTATCACCATGGTGGATTAAAGTTAATGTAGGTGATTTTGACAGATTACTCGATTTGACATATAGGCTCCACCTAACCTCACTGGAGCGTAATCATAGATTAGAATTTTGGTCATGAAAAGGGAAACGCACCATGAAGGGGCTGACATGCAGGGGTTTCGCAACCACATCAGATCCCGGGCAGAAGACGAACGACACCCGCTCGCCCCATGGCGTATTTGTCACCTGAAATCCAACAAAGCAACACAATGACTTACCATCCACAGGCACCATTCCTTTACAGAACATCATTCCAGCTAAGGTTGGCCCACCTCGGCAATGCACATCCTAAGGATGGGCGCAGGCCCAACTTCTTCTCGTCCTTCGTCTTCCGCCACTTCGTAGCAGTAGTAGACACTCAAAGGGTTCTGCTCGTACCCCATATTCGCTGGAATCGTCAGCAGGAACCTGCAAATTCCGAACTTTACACACCGCTCCTTCTAAAAACCTCAACTTTCTCAACCAGAAAAAATAAATAAATAAATAAACGTCAAACATCGGATTTACACAGGTCCGTTGGTGTGGGCGATCTCGCGGGCCCGGTCCGCGGAGAGGTGGGGAGGCTGGGGGACGCGGTCGAGGTCGATGAGCGCGTACCGGACAGGATACTCGAATGCATGCGCGACAGGGCGCCGCCTCGCGTGGTGCACGCGGCCCTCGTAGAGCCACACGGCGGCATCGCCGTCGCCGTCGCCGTCACCCTCGCGACCGCCCACTTCCGGACCTGGAGACCCAAAGCGGCAGAAGAAGAGACGAATGGATTGGAAGGCGAGGGCAAGGGAGAGGAGGGAGGAAGTGATGGTGGTGGAAGCGACGTAGCAAAGCAAGTAGACCGCCTCCATCGCCGACTCACCGCGCTGGTTGCCTCTCAATCTCTAGGGCGGCAGTAGATAAGACCTCAAATAACAAGAAAAAAATAATAAGAAAACTGACGTGCCATAATTTTAGCCATAACTTTTTTTTGATAATTTACCAAAAAAAAAATCTACAGTTCGTTTGCTATCGTCCATTAGAGATTATCATTTACGATCTTCTTTACTGTTTATATTTTTATTTATTTTTTTTATAAATAGACATAAATATCCTTCCGCTTCTTCTTATTCTAATTCTTTCTCTATCCATTTTCTCTTGCTCCTCTTTTTTTTTTCCATCTTCTTCTCTTAGGATAGTATCAGAAATGATAAATAGAGAGTTAGGAAAATACAACCTAGGAAACAATGATGATAGAGTGTGGGCTAAAGAGTGATGATCAACTATAACGATATGAATAATAGATAGTTAAGAAACGACAATCTATAGGAAGTACGGGGATGACGATCAACTAGGAGCATAGGCTAAGGGGTGATGATCAATGGCAAGCACATGTTGGGGGTGGCCATTGATGATAGGCATGGGCTAGGGGGCAACGATCGATGGTAGGTGCTAGTCATAAGTATCTTACAAGTCAATCACGTGAGTGATGGCACATGTAACATAACATACACTATTTTTGTTTATTATATTATTTAATATTTTATCACTTTATATTATTTACTATATATATATATATATATATATATATATATATATATATATATATATATATATATTGTGATATCCATGTATCTATGTAATGAGAATCGGATTGTGATGAGATTATGATAATGAGACTAATTTACTTTTAAACATAAACCCTAAATAATCCCGATCATATATTACTCGAGAGGGACATCAAAATAACTAGATAAACTTGTGTATTGTATATCGATCCATATGATGGAGGCGGTTGGTCTCATAGTTGGTCGTGTGAGGACGACACTAGGGATATAGTGCAAATGCTCATTGGAGAAATGAGTTCACTCATTGATCCGCTCATGGAATGTTGGATGGTTGATGATGCCTTATTATCAGACAATGATTCCTTCGTCTTAGTAGTATATCTGATCCTTAGACTTGAGATACCAAGGATGTCCTATATGAGTACTTCACTATTTGATACTGGATTTATAGATCTGGAAGTACCAAATCTAACACAACCAATTATCGGGAGTGACAGCCAACCCTACGAGGGCTATTGAGTGTCGATAGAGGATCATTCACTCTTAGTGTCATAAGATGAATATCTGAACCTCTACTCATCGTAACACCTACTATATATGTGTGTGACTCTCTAGGCCCATTATTTGATCTAGGCCACTACGCCGTAGTCCCTAGATGATACAGGGGAATCTAATCCATTGGATATGTCTATTGTTAGTTACTATATATATATAGTCTCTCATCTATCTAATATCCTAGAGATCATATACGGGGCATGGTGCTATCAAGCCCATACGGTTTCTCCTCGAATCTTGCTCTAATCGGATTCTCCCGAAGAACTCTTTCTCTTTCAATCTGAATGATCCTAACAAGGGATTTATCTAAGAAAAAACATATGAGATATTCCTCTTATGACATCGAGAGTAGATGATCCTCTATCGACACTCAATAGCTCTCGTAAGGTTAGTTGTCACTTCCGATGACCGGTTGTGTTAGATCTAGAACTTCTGGACCTATAAATTCATTATCGAAAAGTGAAGTACTCATATAGGACATCCTTAGTGAAATCAACCATCTAACATCCCGTAAGTGAATCAATAAGTGAAATCATTCTCCAATGAATACCTACACTGTATTCCTAGTGTTCCCACATGAGTAGCTATGAGACCAGCCACCTCCATTATATGGATGAGTATACAATACACTAGTTTATCCGGTTATCTCGATGTCCCTCTCGAGTAAGTTATGATCGAGATTATTTAAGGTCTATGTTTAAAAGTGAATCGGTCTTATTATCGTGATCACATCACGACCCGATTCTCATTATATAGATACATGGACATCACAATATATATCTGTAATAAGCAATATAAAGTGATAAAATATTAAATAATATAATTAAAAAAAAGAGTGTATATCATGTCGCACATGCCATCACTCACGTGATTGGCTTGTATGGCACCTATGGCTAGCAATCTCCCACTTGACCTAAAGCCAATTATATACGTATTTGATCCCCATTAGACCCCCGTGATACTCAAAGACAATGACTTTGTCAGTGGATCTGTGATGTTATCTTCGGATGAAATTTTTTCCACAACTACATCTCCTCAGGCCCCGATCTCTTTGATTAGGTGAAACCTCCTCAGAACATGCTTAGACTTATGATGAGGCCTAGGTTCCTTCGCTTGAGCAATCACCCCGTTGTTGTCATAATATAAGGGAATTGACTCCTCGTTGCTTGGTACGACCCTCAGATCTGTGATGAACTTCTTTATTCAGACTCCCTCCTTTACTGCCTCTGCTATAGCAATGTACTCCACTTCTATGGTTGAGTTAGTAATAATATCCTACTTGCAACTCTTCCAGCATACTACTACTCTATTCAGGGTGAACATATACCCTAAATTAGACTTGTTGTCATCAATATCAAACTGGAAACTCGAGTCCATGTAGCCCTCAACTCTAAGGCCACTACCTTCATATACCAGTAAAAAATCTTTAGTCCTTCTCAAGGACTTAAGGATACACTTTACTACTTTCTAATGCTCCAAGCCTGGATCCGCTTGATACCTACTCATGACACTCAAAGCATGCACTATATCAGACTTGGTACATAGTATAGCATATGTGATAGACCCTGTCACTGAGGTATAGGGTATTCTGTCCATATTTGCCATTTCTTCAGGAGTCTTTGGGGATATAATCCTAGAAAGGTATATATCATGTCTTATCTATAGGGAAATCTAAGGGGGCATCACAAGCATAGCGGAAGAACATAAAAAATAAAATCCCCAAATTTTTCAAAGATGTGTTCGTCGTCATATGAAGATTGATGCGTAAAAATCCATAAAACTTAAATCCACATATAAGATATATTGTGTTACCTAGGGAGATCGTATATCCTTGAATCCCTACAGATTTGTAGGAGTGGATGAAGGAGATCAAGCACTCTCCTCTCTAGCGGTGATCCATACAATAAGGTTGCGATGATGCTCCTCAAATCTCTAGGCCCATTATCTTTAAAGGAGAAGGGGAGAGGAGAATAGGAGATGGCAACCTAGAGAGGCTCTAGCCTATAAACCTTTGGTTCCCTCCTATTTATAGAGGTCCCCTATCAACTTAACCCTAATGGATCCTGCCCTATTGGGTATTGAATCTCCATCCAACTACCCAAACCTCTTAGATTAGTGGATCTCTATCTAATAATCTTTTATTGACTCTTATTGGATGTTCAATAATTCAGGGGCTTATTGGATGTCCAGTAAGATAGGGGCTCCTCTCATATCCGAACCTCTCCTTGTCGTAATGCATACTATATGTATGTGACCCTCTAGGCCCAATATCGAGTTAGCCATGAGTCATACCTATTAGAACTCTTTCTTGCTTAGTGAATTATTATCTCTATAATAATTTATTCGACTCATCGATTGCAGATGTACTAGGCCACTACGCCATAGTCCTTAGATGATATAAGGGAATCCAATCCATTAGACTTGTTTGTCCTCAATTACCGTGTACCTATAGTCCCTCATCCATCTAATATCTCAAAGACCATATACCGGGCATGGTGCTGTCAGACCCATATGGTTTCTACTCGAGTCTTGTTATAATCGGATTCTCCCGAAGAACTCTTTCTCTCTCAATTCGAATGACCCTAGCCAAGGATTTGTCTAAGTAAGAACATATGAAATATTCCTCTCATAACACCGAGAGTAATGATCCTCTATCGACACTCAATAGCCCTCGTAAGATTAACTACTACTCCCGATAACAAATTGTACTAGGTTTGGAATATCTAAACCTATAAGTTCGGTATCAAAGAGTGGAGGACTCATACAAGACATCCTTCATGTCTCAAGTCTAAGGACCAAGTACACCATTGGGATAACGAAATCGCTATCTGACAACGAGGTATCATTAACCATCCAACATTCTGTGAGCGGATCAATTAGTCAACTTAGTATCCAATGAGCACCTGCACTGTATTCCTAGTGTTTTCACACGAGCAACTATAAGACTAGTTACCTCCATTATATGGACTGGTATATAGCAGACTAGTCTGTCTGGTCTCGTTATCCCTCTCGAGTAACTTATGACCAGGATTATTTAGGGTTTGTGTTTAAAGGCGAATCGGTCTCATTATCATGATCTCATCATGATCCAATTCCTATTACACAGATTCATGGACTCATTATATATATATATATATATATATATATATATATATATATATATATACACACGTAACAAGAAATATAAAGTGATAAAATGTCAAATAATAATGATAAGCAAAAAGACTACATGTTAAGTCACATGTGCCATCACTTATGTGATTGGCCTGTTAGTGGATCTCCAATATTATCTTCAAATGGAACTCTTTCCACTGCTATATATCCTCGGGTCATGATTTCTCTAATAAGCCAGTTCCAACGGCTTTGTTGGGTCTTTCTTAGTAACCTTTTCTTTAACCGGTCTACCCTTGCCCTTGCCCTTCTTAAGTGACTTTTCTGCTTTCCTTTTCTTTCTGGTCTCACCAGTGTAGAGAACTGACTTCTCTTTCTTGATAGTGCTCTCTGCCTCCCTCAACGTATTGAGGAGCTCCGGGAGAGTCATCTCAAGCTTGTTCATATTAAAATTCATTATGAATTGTGAAAAGGAATCTAGTAAGAACCAAAGCATAAGATCCACACACAAGTTATCCTCTAGGACCATACCTAGACCTGTGAGTTTCTCTATCCACTTAATCATATTTAGGACATTGTTCTGAACCAGTGTCCCCTCAGTCATCCTAGCGCAAAAGATGCTCTTAGATATCTCATATAGCTGAGTCCTTCTCTGTTCCTCAAACAGTTTATGG